AACGTTTTCTAATCCTAGCAGTGAATGTTGTATTCAGTGGAAAACTATCCACATCATATGTATCTTCTCTTTTGTCAGTGGTCACAATTGAAATGCGTATGATATAATGAAATACTGGAAATAAGGGTCAGGAATCTCAGTATGTGTTAAAATAATCTAGCCAAGTTCTTTCTCTCCTAAAAGACCAAACAAAAGGATGGATAGCATGCGATCCAGGAGGGAATTTAAGAGTTTTTAGAAAGTTGAGAAAGGCAGTGTACAACTAAATACTTTGCTTACCTCTTTCCACGTATTTTCCAGTTTTAGAAGTTGTTTCTTTTAACTGAATAAGTGCAATGAATGTAAAATTGCAAGAGGAAATTAGCAACTGAATTCTTAAATCAAGAATCAGATTTATAAATTTTAGGGTGAGTCTCCGAAAGAAAAAGATTCGCTGTATGTTCATCAAGCATGCCAAATATTTGTAAGTGAGTATTACAATATTTTTCATGTGTGAAATCAAAGTTTTGAATCAGTAACTTTTAAGGAATGAATATGTGTATCAGGATGGGCATTTTTGAAGTTGGTGTATGCATTATCTTTTAACCTTTTCTTTATAAAAAGTTAAACTTTTTCACTCAAGATTTTTATAACAGTGAGTCAAACTGATTAGGTATTGCCCTTCTGACATTTCTGCAGCTGATGCTGATGTTCAGTCATTCAGTCACTTCCAACTCTTTCTAACTGGATGGACATCCTTTTGCCAGGATTGTCTGTCAATAATTGCTCCTTGGCATAAATTGACACATGTCATCAGTCATAGAATCTGGCTGCCTTGTCTTCTGTTGGGCTCTTTTTTTTATTGCCACTTATTGTTTTCCAAGCATCAAGATCTTTTCCAGTGATTCTTGGCTTGCATTATCTAGTCAAAATAATTAAGCTTTAGCTTCATTATTAACTTCTAGTGTGCAGCTTGATTTTAGTTCATCTGGTGCTGTATGATTTGCTCTTGTTCTCTGAGGTGGTATCAACCATTTTTTCCAGCACTGCAATTCAAAGACTGAGTCTTTCTGAGAGGCCATATGTTACAAAGCCAGGTTTTGACAGATACCATCCCTGTGAGCCTAGAAAAATAAAGTCTGTTCGCGTGTTAACCTCTTCTCTGTCTCTTTGCATTGGGTTGGTATTGCCTGTTGTTTCCTGATCAGCATGCAAATAAGTTCACTTATGATTTTAAGGACTAACCACAATTTGTTGCAGTCTATGTGAGATGCATGTAATTGTTTGGTAGTTTGAGCATTCTTTAGCATTGTTCTTTTTTTGTATAGGAGTATGAATTGATCTTTGGCAGTCCCTTGGCTATTTCTGGGGTTTTCCACACTTGTTTATAGACCTGTAGCACTTTAACTGCTACATCTAACAGAGTTTTAAACTGTTTTGCTGGTACTTTGTTGTTAATATTTTCTAGGGCCCATTTATCTTCGCTTCATAGTAAATGCCTGCCTGCTTCGCTCAGATGGTCAATCTGCATTTTCAGGAGGGAAATTTGTCCTTTAGCAGATAGTCATAGTCATATTCCATGCTCCTTCTGCTGAAGAAAAACTTTGATGATTTTATATAATAAAGGTTTTAATGGAGGGCAAAAAATGTGGACCAAGAAAGAGTGGATCCCTATTGCCCCCCAACACCTCTGATTAAAGTGGAATTTCAGGTAACATTTGGATTAAAGGTAGCATCTATTTCTATAGTTGTGTTCTCTGTAGGAATAGGAAAAAGATATAGTTTTTAGCTATGCTAGATTTCTTTCTTTCGTGCAGAGCTGGGTATATCACTCTGGATAAATTAGGAAAATGAGTGTATAATATCAGCCATTCATAAATACTGTATTTTTCTTTAAGAATCTTCCTAGAATCTGTATATTAAGTTGAAATTTTCTGTCCCATCTCTTGATGGAAGATGTGTAGTAAACCAGCATTTTGTGGTCATCTTGGACCATTACATTGTCTCTTGTATTTTCTTTTTTTAAATCTCTTATCTTTCCCATTCAGTTGTTATACTTGACTTCTTTGCTTAATTTATTTAGATATAATTACTTGTCTCATCTTACTCTTTTCTGGAACTTGGTGCTTAATCAGTCTTCTTTTAAAACCATACAAATGCAGGTAACAAATTGCACAAGTTAGCTATGTTCTTTGTGGAAAATATTTCCTTCTAATTACCCTGCATTTTGATGACCTAAATTCTAACATTGTGGAAGAAAGAAAAAGTGTTCCCTCTTCAGATGATATAATTACCATACAGTACATGTTTTTAGATACCCTTATCATATATTTCCATATTATTTCTATCTTAAGATGCCCAGTTGTATGTCTGCTTTGGTGTAGACCTAGGAATAAAATAGCTGGCATTTGATTTATTGTGTGTATTGCGGTATACAAATAGAGAATTTGCAAGTTCCTGATTTGGTGTGATGTTTTCTCTAGACATTGCTTGCAAAACTTTCTTGACACATTAAACAAACCTTTCAGCTAATCTGTATGAAGCTGGGTGATATGATACTGATATCATATAAATGGTGTGCTTTTACTTGAGCAAATACTTCTGGATGTGTCCTGTGTATCACATTTTTTCAGGTTGCTCCTTTAAATCTTAACTGAGTTGGTGATGTGTAAACTTCTGCCACAATGATAGCACAGTTCATTTTGGCCTGTTACTGTCTATATGCTATTGCAAGCTTTTTCAAATTTGCTTTTACTCCTGACTGCAATCTATATTATCTCTTGCAGCAATTCCATAGAGGTAACAATTTCAGATGCTGTCTTAAATGTTAAACCCGTTTCTCTTAAAACTCTCTTTTGAATGTTTTATTTCAGAATTCCTCAGACTAACCAATCTCTCAAAACATGGTTTAGCTTTCTGCCAAATTTTCAATGTTCAGACATCTTAAGTTTAGCTGCCTTGCATGATAGATTCCCTCTTTTTGTTTGATCCTCTTCATGAAATACAAGTATATCATATTTTTCATGATATATAAAAATATCTTGTAGTGAAATATTTAATAATTATTTGGAAATTGTTCATTATTTAAGTTTTTAAAAATTCTTTATATCATGATTATTTAGTAGCTTTTGGCACAATAAGTAGATAACATATCTATGTTAATAGTATTTTATATTTGAAAATTAAAATCTGTTTCTCTGTCCAAACATTTCTGTACATTGTTAAGCTTCTATTGCAAGTTTGTTTCCTGTTTGTATGTAAGCTTGTTTAATGCTCAAGGAAGAGTATATTCCACACATGCATTTTATTTATAGATTTATTGTAGTCTTTTTATTGCAAAAGAGCCTAGGCTTGGTTCTTATATTTATATTATACTTTTTCATTAAAAACTAAAAAGAATTCATAGAATGTTTATATATTCAGTTTTAAGTCCCATTGATTTCTAGTAGGCAACTTAAGCATCTGCTTAGATTGCATTCTTTCATAAAGATAATGGAACAATCTATTTCACTGTTACTACTGTAGCTTTGTATTCTTCAATCACATTGTCATGGCAGTTGACAATTAAATATTAACGCCTAAAACAATTTGTATGTAAACACAAGATCAGAACAGCAAACCTATTACATCATTTGAAGAAGCTGCAACAGAAGAGGTTCATCACCTGAGGTGAAAAAAAGCCACAGTACAGGAAGCTGGGATCAGTCGTACAGAGAAGGTCTAAGCATTGGTCTTGATTGTTTGTGTCATCAGGTCTGTAGCAACCACACAGACTTCCCTCAGGATAAATCTCTCCTCATCATGGCCCTTCAGTAATTCTAACACCACTGAAATCAATTCCATCCATCTTGCTGCTGGTCATCCTCTTATCTTTCCTTCCAGAGCATCGGTCTAGCCAACTCAAATGCAGAGATGGAGCGTCATCCCTACAAGTAGACCAGATCAAGAAACTGGTGCTGCATAGGTCTAAAACTACTTTCATTAGAATGGCTGTAGTAGAATCTTTCAAGTCTTAATGTGTTTCCCCTCCTCCCTCTTTTATCTTCATGTGAATTAGATGGATACCTGTCTTAGGTGTTTTTGTAAATCTCTTAGTATGGGC